TGTGTGTGTGTGTGTGTGTCCTTAACCATATTTTTGGGGACAAATTTGTACCCAAAAGTGAGCAAAACCTGACTAAATCGGCAAAAAACTCAATTTGTGGATGTCCTCATTTGTAAAACTGTTATAAAAATAAAGTAAGTTTTATTTTTACTTTTAACATTTTAAAAATGCAGAAAGTTTTCTGTGAGGGGTAGGGGTGGGTTTAGGTTAAAAAGTGTATAACTATCTGTATATAAAACAATAGAAGTCTATGTAATGTTCCCATTTAGATAGCTAAGTAAACGTGTGTGTGTGTGTAAAATAGAATATCAGTCTGGTGAGTAAACAAAAAATTTTACTAGCCAATGGAGATTATATTGCCAAGGTGTGCATAGAGGGTTGTCCAATTCAGCCCATTCCAAGGGTTCCGCCAGTAGTGGGCACTCATGCAATGTAATCAATGACATACATCCGAGTAACCGAGACGGAGGGAAGTTAGCGAGTGAAGGGCATAAAAAAATGGACTGGAACGCAGCCACTATCTTTGTTTCTAAATGATTCAGCTCTTTTGAATGAATCTTTTGAATGAATCTGTCAATGAATCACTCATCAAGATGGGGACTTGCCACCAACTACTGGCCATTTAGTTTATATTTATTTATCCATGACAAGCTTAAACCAACCAAGGTACTATCTCAAAAACACTAGTCAAAATATGGTCTAATTATCGTTATTAAAAAAATCCCAAAAAATACTGAGATATTTAGAGAATTGAGATTTTTTTGTCAGTATCGCACACCCCTAAAACAACCTGGCTTTTCACTGGCTTTAATATGAGCAACTGTGTGGCTGGAATGGGCTTCCAAGGCTGAGATGCTGCATGAAGCCTCACATCACCAAGTACAATGCCAAGCGAGGGATTGAGTGGAGTGAAGCATGCCAACACTATATATACCACTCTGTATATAAGGAGGGACAGTGTGAAAGTGAGACATAGTAACCAGTGGTTGGTTTGTATTTTGTTGTGTCATAAACAGGAAACCAAACGCTGAGTAACGGCACACTGCGTTTCCAGCAGCACACAGATGAGGAACATGTCTGTTTCTTGTTTTTGCTGTTTCTGCAGCACTAGAGGACAAGTCTTCAGAATGACTGGAGATTCAACTCATTTTCTTACTTTTGAGGAATTTGCTGTGACTCTTCACACACCTCCACCCACATTCTTTAAGGGATAGTCCACCCAAAAATAAAAACTCTGTCACCATTTACTCACCCTAATGTCGTTTTAAACCTGTATGAATTTTTTTCAGCTGTTGAACACAAAAGAAAATATTTTGAAGAATGTTGATGGTAGCCATTGACTTCCACATTATGAAAAAAAAAATACTATGGACGTCAGTGGTTTCTTCAAAATATCTTATTTTGTGTTCAGCAGAAGAAACAAACTCAGACAGGTTTGGAACAAGTGAATGGAAGTAATTGATGACAGAATTTTCATTTTTGTTGGTGAACTATCCCTTTAAGTTGCACTAAATTACTTATTTTCTCAAGCCTGTTGATTTTGTCTTTTGTTGTTTTCATGCAACACTTGTTTTTACCTTATGGAGGCGTTCGGGTGAAAAATCCAGACCAACCACAAAAAGAGTGAAGAACACACCCAGCTCTCCTAATGTCTCCACCTGAACCATAGACTGCAAGCGGGACAGAAAGCATAATATCACATACATGTCCAACTGAGATCATGCAATGTGCACACGTGCATCTGAAGAGGTTCATCACTCACTTTGATGCTGTTGAGTCCTGATGGGCCGAGAAGAACCCCACAGATGATATAGCCGAACATGGGCGGCAACCGCATCAGCGTACAGAGCCATCCACACGGTAGAGACAACATGACCACGTACACCAGATCCTGTGCAACCAAATACATTATTAAAATATAATTTCTCATTTGTGTGAAAGTGCTGAGCCTGCAATTGGCTCCAGTGAACTGTGAGAACACATAGTGAGAGGTCAGAGGTCAGGTGCTGACCTTGATGAAGTGGTGGTCGGCACGGGGCATGGTGGAGTCACGTGGTTTGGTCAGCACATACTGGTTGTTTTGTGAGTCGATCAGCATGCTGAGCCCCAGATTACCTTTGTCCACCTGCCTTGACTCATTCTTCCTCTTACCATTCTCCTCATCCTCCTCTACTCTCAGGACGGCCTCGACATTCACACCCTTCATCTGGACAGAGAGAGAGAGATGGACAAAAAATAACTACAAATGGGTTGATGAGCAAATAAGTTTTATGAATCACTTAATACTCATTCTTTCTCAATTAAAGCTAGAATGCTTATGTTTTCTGAGAAATATGTGAGCAAAACTCACAACTATGATGCTGAGGTCGTGTCTGAAGTGAAAACAGTAATTCTGCAACTAATGATTATTTTGATAATTGTTTAATTTGTTGATTATTTCTTCAATTAATCAGATTTTTTTTTTCAAATTATATTTACATTGAAAACAGTTATTTTAAATTGCAATACTATTTCCCAATATAAATTTTTTTCCTGTATATTTGATCAGATAAATGCAGCCTTGGTGAGCAGAAGAGACTGCTTTCAAAAACATTACAAAATCCTTAATGTTAAATGATTCCAAACTAATTATTTCAAACTTTTAGCCAGTAAACATCATATTATAAATCAAAAACAACTGTTTGCCCAGCAGAAGTTGACAATCCCTAAATGAAAATGATGAAAACCAAAAGATGTTTGACAACAGTGTATGTGTTCATTGAAGTATATGAAGTTTAACAGTCACATTTGCTGTCAGGATGAGCATTTATGCAAAATGAAAATACTTGTGTGTATTTCCAACATTTATAGATATAACCATAATAGCCGATAGCATTTTATTTATATCACAGCTCTGTCATAGCC